ATAGTTACATCACTCTCAGGGGAGGTTTTTTTCCCCCCCCCTTTTTTTTAATAACAGGCAATCTGCCTTAGGCAACTCCAAGATGCATCATAAAATGCAAAGCGACACATGTCCTCTTTCACCAGCCAAGGGTGCCAACTGCCTGCTTGATCTAAATAGAGGACACTTGCTCAGAAGAGAAAGCGATAAGCAGACTGCTGTTCATCTGACAAAACTCTGGCAAATACAAAACTGACATGAGCCCTTATGGAGCATTCAGGGACCTACAGGTTTTACACCAACAAGAAAGACTCAGACTTACTGAAGGGATCTAAAAAAAAAAAAAAACAAACACATGATTAATAAAGGAATGGTAAAATAACAATAATAATGTTATTATTATAAGGTATGTCTCTTTTGAGATTAATGCTTCCAAATATGTGAAGGTTAACAAGTGCAGCTATACAGATAGATAATTATGCCTGAAAGGTTGACAGTATATCTTCACTTATGTTCCAGATACATGATTTTCTTAAAAAACAAAAGTAGACATTTAGATGTCTTACTGAACAGCTCCTGAGCGTGGGTGATTGCTACTGAGCTGTTGTGGACAAACACACCGACCAAGGCACAATCGTCCACCATTACGCCTCCATAAAGTCTCTTCACGCTTGAGCTAATCTGACAAAGTTATGAGATCAATGGTTTCTTAAGGCACAAGTGCACATACTCATCATTTAAAGATAATATGTACGCATAAATACCTGCTGACAACAATAGTAGTGCTGATTATAAACTTAAGTGTCGCCACTTAAGCCCGGAAAAGCGGCTGTCTGTATCCAACTAACCCATCAACAACAACAAGCTATCGGATGCTAACGTTAACTTGGGTTCCTAACAACCTGTCCATCTGTCCGGCTACAAACCCAGTGGCTACATAAATCCAGCTACCAGTGCACAATAGCCATCGATGGTCAGATGGGATACTAGCTGGGAACCGAGAGTCTGTACCCCTTTAAGAAGTGATATATTATCATACAATCAAGTCGGGGTATCTCTGTGCTTTCAAATAGCGATACACTAAAGAGACAATGAAACCGACCCCCGTTCAGGGAGCAGCGGGGTAGTTCAAAACGAGCTAACGTGCTAAGTTAGCCTGCTAACGCTAATTCTCTGGTCTGCACAAACAGTCCCTGGATGTTCACGAATAATTGAGCGCTAATTACACAGAAAAATGTCATTTTGACCAAATGATTTTAGCCTTTAAATGTGGGAATACGTTAAATAAATGGTACAATTTACTACTGCAGGTGTAGGATAAAACAAGTTTGATGGGAAAAGTTTGTTTTATTTTGTTTCACTTTAGAGGCTTTGCTCCTGGCAGCTCGAACTAGGTAGGTGTATGTGTGGAGCTGAACGGCACACAAACTGTTACCTTGCACGTTAGCGGACAGCAAGCTATGCTAGCTAGCTTAACTTGCATTAGCTAACATCGACAGGGAAAAAAAAAACTTCCGTCATCGTCACGTTTTAATTGGAAATTATGATCTCGGATAAGATTACAGGACAACGAAATAAAGTTTCATGAACTTACGGAGTATAAAGGAGGAGCCGGGTCGAGTTCCCCCGCGGTTTTCACTTATTTGGCGTCAGTATTTTAGCAGGCTTTGGCGTAAAAAAATCCCGGGGATCCCCTCTCTTCTGTCCGCTGCCACTCCGGTTGCCAGATAATGTAATGAGCCACCACAGGCGGCGTCATGCTGCGTTCATAAACACCTCGGAAATGATAAGTGCTGCGATAGAAGAAAAAAAAAGTATTCTGGAACGACTTAACGAAGTAACCTAGGAGTGGGACTTAAGCCAATGCGCTGACATTAAATTGAGATATTTACTACAAACATTTACTCACTTTTAATGTAGGACTCCTTGGTATTAAGAGCATATCTTGAATTAATTTTTTTTATCCGTCATTCTATTTTATTTTAGATTAAGTAATACAACAGTCATAACCGGTAAAACTTTAGGAATGCATTAACATCAAGGCGTTAAATTATATATTTTTTGTAGAAAAGTTTAAAATGTTTCCCTCTTTGCTTACTTGGTGTTTATAGTTGATGGAGACAAGTAGGCCTGCTGCATCAGACTTCTTGTATCCCTTCTGAATGAAGGCATCTAAGTCACCTATAAATATGGTCAGGCGTTTGGCAGTAAATTAATCCTCTTCTGTGAAATCCAAGTTTCAATCAACATCGTTGAATTGTTTCAGCTCCCACATGTAAAGACTTTATGCTCATTCATTTTTGAATATACACTCACCGGCCACTTTATTAGGTACACCTGTCCAACTGCTCGTTAACACTTAATTTCTAAGCAGTCAATCACATGGCGGCAACTCAGTGCATTTAGGCATGTAGACATGGTCAAGACAATCTCCTGCAGTTCAAACCGAGCATCAGTATGGGGAAGAAAGGTGATTTGAGTGACTTTGAACGTGGCATGATTGTTGGTGGCAGAAGGGCTGGTCTG